ACAAAGTGACATTCCTCGGAAAACTTGACTTTTGCGTTGTCAAGTCCAAGCGTCAAATGCCGACTTTCTATATCGATTGTAGAAAATAGTATATTATTAGCCAAGGTTGTAAAGCCAAGCATTCTAGATCGAGCGCAAATTAGAACCCGAGACGCGCAGCGTCGAGGGCTGTAAAGCACGAGGTCTAGAAGTAGCTTTACAACCGTGGTTAATATAGTTACTATTTTTTTCACTAGTAGAAACCGTAAGACAATAAATTGAAAAAATAAACGGTCAATTTTTTGACGCAACATGATTTTGTTCGGATTTCTAATCAAACTTAATCTAACTGCCCATTCACAATGGACATAAGACATAAGAACAAGCGCATAACATAATTTACTGCCCATTCACAATGGACATAAGACATAAGAACAAGCGCATAACATAATTTACGTTTTTGGTCTGTGTCTGGCTTATGCTTATCTACGTTCACAGTGGACAGAGTGAACTCTGTAAGAATTGTTAAACTGCGCAAACGCAGAACGGAATAACTCCTGGCTAAACATAGAAACGGCTAACCTCAAACTGAGTCAATCAAAATATCTAACCTACAATTTCATACGATATTCGAAATTGACAACTCGCAGTACAGAACAGACTCGCAGTGTGAAGCTTTGATTATAATTTATATAATATAATCAAAGGTGGGAAGTGCCAAGTGCCAACTGTCAAAGGGAATTCAATCGCAGCATTCAAAAGTCCCTAGATTTTAACATAATTTTGACATAATTCGTGCACAAAGTTGAACTTGTTTCAACTTTGTGTACGCACACAAGGATTACATAAAACGTTCATAAGCATAAGAATTACGTTCGTCCATTGTGAACAGGGGTACACGTTTTCCATCGTTTCAACTTTATGTATTTATGTAAGCTTTATGTACTTGTTATGCCTTATGTCCATTGTGAATGGGCAGTTAATCTTCAACACAAAAAAACCGTTTACACTTGTCACTGAATTAATCATTTTGTCTTCCAACTTCTACCAACTACCATGCGTATACTCAAGTAATGTTAGTAGCACACATTTATTCATTTTTTAAGAAATAATCACATCAAGTATTTCTTATATAACCTCAATCTTCTTTTTGAACCTTGGTCGCAAAAGTTGAACTTTGCTACCTCTAAATAAGTCGACATTTGCATGCTTCATGGCTGCTAGTGAAAAAACATTTTTCATTATTTTTTGAGACTATTGAATTGTTTGAAAAAACTCTATAGCAACAGCAAAAAGCATGGATTGCTGTTGTACTTTTATTCAGGTGAAACTGAGATTTTTAGAAATTAAAACTGATGGTTTATTACCGCTACTTCCACCACAAAATGAAATATGATATTTGTTTGTAATGCAGGATTTGATTATTCGCTTCGCTCATGCGAACTAAACTAATATAACATACCATTACTAACTTGTATGAGTATAGAATCAACTGTGTAATTCATTCATTTTTAAACAGGACATTTAACACACCTGATTCATACTTTTTAACCGCCATTGAAAAACTGTATTACAGAAAATTAGCTGTATTAACGATATAGAACACTGAAACATCGTGAGATGGCACTACAGTTAAAGTAACATGGGCGAGTGTCACCTTAATTAGAGGGGTGTCACAATTAGACGGATGCACAGTACATAATTTAGTACAGGCCAAATTAATGTCAGTTAAACCTTGGAGATAGGACCTATCAGTTGAAAGAAGCAAATGGTATAGTAATGGGAAGTTAGCTTTAAGAAAATTAAATTGTTTAGAATTTGTATTCATGACAATGTTTCTTGGATTTATGATTTATGAAGCTTATTTCTAAGGCTGGGTGGTATTCGTCTTCTAATAAAGCAGAATATTCAGATTTATCAATGGAATATGGAAAGTAAGAAAATCTAGATCCAAATTACAATTGATTAAAAATAAATTAAAGTATATTGAGAAAAATTATGGAAGCTAGTAAAGTTTCCTAGTAAATTAATCTGTTATTAATATTCTCGGTGTATGCAGGTACGTTAACATCTCCAATAATAATCGCGTTATCCCTATGCGATTCGCTCACATTACTTAGTAATTCAAGGAAGATTTTATAATCGTTAAAATTAATTACTGGAGGAATATAAACAACAAATAAGTCGAAAACGCTATCGCAAGAAATCGATGTTTTTAAACTTATGATAACGGCGCCTGGAACTGTATTTGTGATATGTGATAACTCAATCTGTGAACAAATAAAATTATTGTGAACTCCACCACCTTTCACAACATTCATTTCCACAAAATGTCTACCTTTTCTGCACACTGTATAATTGCTGGGAAATAATTAGATATTTAGAACACATTCACTGAGCTAAGTTTCTGCAAGAGCAACAAAATCGAAAGAAGAAGAACAAATATTGTAGAAGAAAGTAATTATTTTAGAACGCAGTCCATGAACACTTTGATAATAAAAAGTGTGATAGAATAATTATAAATTGGGTGCAGCCCCTAGTTTAAATTTCGTACTATGCCTGGAATTCCATTGGTATACAGTAAACCCTCGTTACTTCGAACTCGGATAAGACAAACACCTCGTTATTACGAACTGAAATCGAAGTCCCAAACAGTCCACTTATAAAATGAATGCAACTTAATTCGGTTTACACGAAATTCGGTTAATACGAAACTCGAACAACTTTTTCGGCCCCAAGTTATAATTCTCATATAAAATCACTCGGTTAACGCGAACAAAAAGTGCACACTCCTTGCATCGTGCTCAAATACGATTTACTTTATCTTAATGGGTATCTAGTAAGCACAACGCAAAAATATGTCTGTGTGTGGTTTACCGAGTTGTAATCAGTTCGTTCTTATTGTTCAATGTGCTAACGTCCAAGATGGCAGATCAAAAACCAAAAGGAGGCCAAAAATTCATTAATATTAAAACGAAAATGCAAACTGCAGTAGCTAAAAAGTTCACCATTCCAAAATCTACATAATCGACCATTCTGAAAACCCGATCTCAAATAAAAAAAAATAGTGTTGGGATCATTTGCGTCAAATTTTTTCACAAAGTTGTTTAGGAAAATTGCTCCATGAAATTTTATATGTATGTAGTACTAGTACTAATGCTCAAAATTTGGTTATATATTGTTAGAAATCTATTACGAAGAAAGCTCAGTTGAAATAAGTTGTTTTTATACATACATTTGTTTTTGTTATATTTTTATTTAAATGTCAAAAAGTGATTTTCGGTTATGGCGAATTCGGTTAACACGGATTGGTCAAGATCATGGTCCCGACGGGTTCGTGTTAACGAGGGTTTACTGTATTCTTAATTCGCAAATTAGTTTCTCCTGTCTTTTCGTTCTTGAAGTTGGACTTTTATCTGCTTATGCCAAACCGATCAAGTTCTTTCGGTGTTCAATCGAAGGTTACTCAAATATGTTTGTAATCATCACTGTTGATTCTTGTTTTAACGTCACGAACAACATTTAGCACTTCTGGTTCAGAATATAAAAAGATTTTAATTGGACGATATCGAACGTTGTTAACTTACCCAATTTCTGAATACGAAGATTTGCAGTGTCAATATCTTTATTAATAACTTGTATAATAATAATCTGTAGCGGTTTTAATTTCGGAAGTCAATCTGTCGTTGTGATACGTTGATCCTGGCTGCTCGGAAATATTGAAAACAATAATATTTATTACAACAACTTCTTGTATAACGTCCTCAAACGAAGACTGAGCTGTATCAGGATGATTTTGAATATTGATTATGCTTTTTAAAACATTTATTTGTTGCTCTAGGCGTTTAGGCTAATGTTTTTAGAGTTTCGAGAGAAGAAATGAATTCCGCATGTATGTCAGAAATTAGTGTTTTCAAATTTCGAAAAACAGACCTATGTTTTTCACAACAGCTACAGATGACCTTCAGTGATCTTGATCTACTCATCATGATATTACTTTCTGACAGCCCACACTTGAAGTGTTGATTTAGATGCATTACACTGAATTCCTATATTTGATGACAGTTTAACCAATTCATTATTAAGATGCATTAATTAAGGACAGAGATAGAAATAGAAATATGGATGGAAAATTTAGTACTTTAAGCAAGGACATTTAACACATAGGGGCCTGTCAAGGTAACTAATATTGACAAATACTAGATGACCACGGAAAAGGGAATAATGAATTTAAAAGGATTAATCACCAGGTGAATTGCTGTAAGAAAAAACTTATCGGCATGTAAAATCGTTCACGATGTAGTATTTTTGTGATTAGGATTGCTGTTGGCCTCACACACAACATCCAATTCGTCTACATATAATCAGATATCGAGTTGAAAGAGCGTAACAAACGATAGAGTATGACAGGATCTATGGGATAATATCACTTATAGTCTTTGCCATTTCTATTGAAATACCACCTGTTGATTTTCCCTAAAATTTAGCAATTGCTAAAAGTTTTCGGTTGATTGACAACGGCTTTTAGTTAGAAAATTGTCTGAATATGAACGTTGCCAAATTTACGATCAACAAGTGGTGTTTCAATAGAAATGGCAAAGACATTACGTTTGAAAAGTGAAGCAAGATCTCAGCAAAATCGTTAGATATCGGAGAGCACTAAATTTTACAACTTTTTGGTTTTAGCTTATTTGATTTATTAGGGCATATATTGTTGGCTAAAAGCAATCTATTTTCAATGGATTTAGATCAAACTCCTTTTATCAAAATTCAGGATTGTTGCAGAGTTCGACATTTAAAGGTTTTACTACATAGTAATAATCTATCTCTAATCAGTCATCATTCCTATAATCAGTAGGTAACGATGAGGACGTTGAATCCCTGATACTGTTTGTAAAAGGTGTATTTATTAGCTGACTTTGTTGTAAATAAAGACAAATGTAAAGTGCTGACATTAATTTTATAGGTTCATACCCATCATAAATTGCAGTTTTAAAACCGGACAAATAGAAGACCCGTAATCCGAGCGGTTCTTAGTTACCCCACTTCTAGTTGAACAATAGCGGCGCATGCCAAACCTGTGGGACACTCAGTGGGTGAACAGCTTAGCCAACCCCTCGTAATGACATTGTAAAATTTTATTGTGTACCAATCGAACCTTTTTAGTGTAATAAATCATTTAACTCTAACTATTTTTCAGAAGATGTTTCATTGAAATGGATAACGAAGTTCGAGACCTTGGTGTAATATTTGACAGCATGTTATCTTTTAACTTTCATATTAATACCCTTAGTGCGTCTTCTCTGAAGCTTCTTGGATTTATTATTAAAACGTGTAAGTGCTTGAACAATTCTTTCACTCTTAAAACGTTCTGTATCGCACATATACTTACGCTCTAAACCAGAACATTGACAGTCAGTATATAAGTATATCAAAACTTATCGACAAAGACGACAGATAGACAGAAACGGGGATCCATTTTTTCATACTCTATGGATTATGAAACGTGGAGAAAACTTGAAATTAACAATACTTCCCTATTTTAACGTCTACAAAGCAAAAATTAATCTAAAGAGCGGATAGAAGTTGGTGACCCAGCTTTATTGTAGGATCAACCGTTTCCATATAAGTCCGACACTTAGACTTCATCAGTCAATTCACGACTGACATTCGCCACATTGCAGAGAGCGAAAATGTTGTGGCAGATGCTCTTTGCCGTGTCGAGGCCTTGGAGACCTCGATTGATTTCCAGGCTCTGGCAGCAGCACAACAACAACCATCAGACCGGTTTGAATACGTGCACTTGGACATAGTAATTATGACACTCTCAGAGGGTTGTCGTTACTGCCTTACCATGGTAGATCGGTACACCCGCTGGTCAGAAGCCGGAGCGATCAGGAAGCAGCAACCGTGGCACGAGCCTTCTACGATACATGGATCGCACGATTCGGCACCCCGTTACGAGTAACCACCGACCAAGCTAGACACTTCAAGTGGTACCTATTTAAATAATTAAATAGTTTATTAGGAACCACTCATTTGAGAACTACAGCCTACCACCCCTCAGCCAACAGAATGGTTGAACGCCTACACCGACAGCTAAAAGCGGCAATCATGTGCCACCAGAATAATCACTAGACTGAAGCCCTATCCACTGTCATGCTCGGCATTCGACCAGCATGGAAAGAAGACTTCCAAGGTTCCTCCGCGGAGCTCGTGTATGGCCAACCTCTCCGCCTGCCCTGTGAATTCCTAGACATCCGACGCGATGAAAACAGCGCAGACAACAGTACCATAAGCTTCGTCAAAGAATTACGTCAACACGTGCGTAACTTGAAACCATGTGATGGAACGCGACACGGAACAAAGAAGGTCTTCGTTTTCAAAGATCTCGCCACCTCCAAACAAGTTTTTGTACGCCACGACGGTCCATACAGAGTCGTAAGGCGATCGGCGAAAACATTCTTCGTCCACATAAAAGGTCGAGATGTCACCGTTTCCATAGATCGGCTCAAACCCGCGTATGTACTCAATGACGACAAGCCCACATCATGATTTAGCCGCGACACTACGAGGACGACGCCCACAACAGACGAACCAGCGCTCTTCGCAGATCAACCGCACGACGGCGACGAGGTACCAGCTTCCACAACAGCGAGGACCACTAAGTCAGGAAAACGGGTGCGCTTCCCTCAGTGCCTGCAAAGCGGTTTTTCATGAAAAACACTAGCAGGGGGTCCTGTAGGAACAACCGTTCCCCAAAAACATGTGATTTACCTAAACGCATTCATAATTTATGTAAATCTCTGTACAAATGTGAATACGTCCTAACTTTCGTCTACATGTCCTATGCTTCTACTTTCTCTTCTAGTTTCAAGAATTTTCTAAAGTCTTTCTTTACCGGCTTCCACCTCTCCAAAGCGAACCTACCTGTCGACAATTCAAAGACCTTTCCCTCTTTTCCTTCGAGCTCTCAAACCCTAAGCATCTAATAAAAATCTGAAAACCGTCACCGTCGCTAATTCTCAGAATCACCAACGATACCTACAATACAAACTGGTCATTTTCCCTACTTGGTACTTTAATAGCAAAAAACTTTTGTACTTTTGTTAGTTGGATAGCCTGGAACGTTGCTACAAGATAAATGCAATCAATTGTTTGTATAAAATACTCGATTGTATGGTTGACTGTAGTGATATTCGTAGCGCTGTATCTGTTACTGTACCGCGCTTGCCTAGTCGTTACCTTTTTTTCCAATCCAAGGACATGAACAAATATTCTCTTTAATGCCCCAAAGTACAAAGTAATAAATAATAACTAAGTATTAAGTAATTGCATCAGTGATACCTGGAACTGATACGTCCTACCGCTTAAAACAATCTTCTTGAATGCACATATTACCGAATCGTAGAGCGTCTGTTGACTTTTTCATTTTTTTTTGCATTTATCACAAATCATATTAACATTTTTTTTTATCACATAGACCCAGTGGTCGTAGCACATATATTTCTCTTCTTAACTCGCTTATTTGAGATTTAAGGGCAACTACTTTTTCTACTTAATAATTAACTATTTATTGTAATTCCTTGAACAATTACAAATCGTAGTTTATTTCACAGAAGGTGGAAGCGTTAGCGCGAAAACAACATCGGACAATATACGAAACTGTTATTTAATTAAAAAAATAAATAAATTGATTTTACTATCTTATTTATGTATTTGTAGGTACTGATGTTTTCTACATCAAAAAGAAGCACTTAACTATTTGAATAAATTACATACAGTTCCTGTTTAGATTAAACAAAATGTAACCATTCGAATTCCCATTTTTTTAAGCTTATTTTAGTTTGATAAGAATATTTGAGTGCCACTGATACAAGCATTTGCGCAAATACTAAAAAAAAAAGTTTCCTATTGGACTAATTAAGTGAGTACTTACTTCTCAGTAGTAAAGTTTTATATCTGATAAAACAACTAAATCTCAGCCAGACCTTTTAGCAAAATGTGTCTTAATGATACTCGTCACCTCCATTGCAATCAATTTTTAGACTGCCGCAGGCTAGGCTTCATTTTCTAACATAATACGCGAGACGTCGCCGTCGATGCAAATATATTTGTTATCGACACCAACAACTGTTATTTACTTGTATTTAATTTTTTTCGAGTACAAAGTATAAAGTGCGAGATAGTACAGTATTAAATACCAGCAATTAAAATTGAATTATTGTTTAAAACAATCTAGTTTTAAAGTAGTTGAGATAAAATCGTCTTTTAACAAAAATGGATCTGCGATTATTTAGGCAGAACTTCTCATCTATGAAGTACAGTAAAAGATATACGGTTTTTTCTAAAAAGTATAAAACTTAATACTTGATGTTTTACGATAATCCGTATAAATTAAAATAAAGATATGTGTACAGTTTTAAAGTAAACATAAAGAAGTATGCTATGCGTATGTTTCAAGTAAGTATCTCCATTACAAAACGTTGTGATGACGTCATTATTATCTAACGAGGATAGACCGATACATTTTTATCAACGATTTACCATACTTACGATAACCTTAAAACGCGTACAAAATTTCAGAGCATCTGGTTTTGCAGTTTCCTAGTTATACTGTAAAAACTACATAATTTTGATTTTCTTTTCTAAAAATCTGGATGTCTAAAGTAAATAATCTGGAAAGATTCATAAAGCGATGTTTTTTATAAAATTTACATAACATTTACTACCTACGCATAATTTTAAGGTGACGCACATATTGTTGGTGAGGATGGTCAGATAAATTAGGGTTAACGTTTTACCATCTACACAATATTCACATGTTACAAAATTATATTTAGAAAAATTAAATAATATGCAAGTGAAACAATAATGTCTCAAGAAGAGAAACAGTGTGCGGACCAAAATATCTGCACCTCGGCTAATCATCCAGTCAATGAGTTTTCGCACATATTGCATTCCACGATTATTGAAGTACCTAATCAGTTGTATCACGGACGAAGTACTTCTTGGATCTGACAGTTGCAGTGGCGTGTACATATTCGGGAAGCCTTATCCTAATTAGACCATACTTCTTGAAAACGATTTATCATTTCTTACAGGTTTATTAAAACAAAACATATTTGTCTAACTCTTCTTCTAAATTGTATTTTTTTGTTAAAGAACCAACAACCCTGCACATTTTTCAGAAATACAAGTGGTAACATGGCTATACACATTTTCTATGATGACAACAGAATAATGGAAGTTAAAACGCCATACGTCATGTTGCTTTTCAAGTTTTCAGTACTTCAAAAATAACTCCATTGGAGGGTGTAACTAAAAGTATAGCAAACAATTATTATAGCCGTGATGTTCACAAACTTTATGAGTTTACCGAAAATAATATTGAGTGGTTAGAGCTTATTTGAAATCAGAAGTACATCGATTGGGAGGGATGAATGTTGTGAAAAAAGATGACAGCTTCAAACTGACTAAGTATAAGTTGGTGTGCTCAGTGATCATTTCATTGTTGTAAATGAGAGAAAACGATTGAAATCGAACGCAATTCCCAGTGTGAATTTAGATGAAAGTCTAGAAGCTTCTTCAACTTCAATGAGTACTGTGCAGGCGCGGATCCAGGGGGGGGGGGCAATGGGTGCAATTGCCCCCCCCCCCCTGACACACGACCGAGGTACTTTATTTTGACCAATTTCAAAATTTTGAAATCGCATTTTATTTTGTAAATACAGTACCTACAACCTCTATAATCCGAATTCACGATTATCCGAACATCCAGTAATCCGAACAGAGGCTATTTGAAGTCGATGCTTCTTTAATCCGAACAAAAACTCTGCAAACCGAACTGAACTTGGAAAAACGCACCTACTTGCAAACATGACGCAAGATCTTTGCATGAGGAACATTTCAGTTTTGAAAAAGTTTCCTAAAAATTCTGAAAAAATTCAGGGATATATGTATATCCCGACGTGCTGATTCCAAAAATATAGCATGTTAATGGTAACCGAGCAATGTTTTCGAAAATTCGGTGTAAAATTCGAATTTTTCGAAATTTTTAAAAATTGCCATGAGTTTTTCAACTGGACGAATCTGGAAAAATGGTTTCAGTTATCGAAGAAATGAAGCCAGAAGTGACTTCTGAGGCCCAAAATTTACAAGAAAATGTATTTAGTTAAATTTCGAAAATCGTCGAGAATACAAAATAGAAAATTTCATTTTTGAAAAATTCGCCTAAAAATTCTGAAAAAATTCAGGGTATAGATTGCGGCGTGTTGATTCCAAAACGATAGCGTGTTTATGGTCACGGAGTAATATTTTTTTAGAATGTATCTATTATCCATTGTTGCTTAAGAATTCTTTAATTTTGTTTAATAAAATTAAGGTTTACTTCTTGAAGTTTGTTTTCAACTGTGTATGAAGTTGTTATTCAATTTCCTTTCAGATTTTTGGGAAAATCGCTGATCCGAACAAATCTTTGATCCGAACACAACTTTTTCTCAATTAATTCGGGTTATCGAGGTTCTACTGTACACTATACGTGTAACGAAAACAACCAAATGTCACCCATGTTATGTGAAAAAGAGTATACTAGTTAAAAATTTATAAATTTTTTGTTTAGAACGAATTTCTGGGAGATAGGTAAAATCTCACAAAAATTGCCCCCCCCCCTAAACGAAATCCTGTATCCGCGCCTGGTACTGTGAGTGCTACTTTAGCTGATATTTCAGAAGAGTCTCCATCAATTATACCTCAAGGTGTAAAGAGGAAATTAAGGTTTGAATATTTTATTGTATTGAATTTTTTACTACTGTTAATAATTATTATTTATTGCTGCGCAAAGATACAATGGAAAAAGCAGTAGCAATACAAGTGGAAGTAAAAGCAAGAACTCAAAAAGTAGTTCTGACAGTAGGGAAGGTGATAAGCTGGCGTTACATAAAGAAACTACATGAATTACAAAATGAAGAATTCCTAAATGTTGCAAACAAGTTGAAAAAGACACATTTGGAGTGGCGACAACATAAAGTGAAAGTAAGTTGTTTTCCTGACAATAATCCGTATTGACATTAATAATTAAGTTCTATTATAGGTAAGTTTAGCAGCACAAACTCTTAAAAAGAGTGTTGCGGATGCACTTGAATTTTTAAAAGATCTTGGTATTGGTGACTTTCAAGGTTGTGAAGCAACAATAGAATTCATCAGAAGGATAGATTCTTTATTTGATATTCTCAATTCCCGAAATGTACGTGCTAAGAATTTTAAGGCGCCTTTGAGAGAAAACAATGAAGAAATGTGGCCTCCATTTCTCACTGACACCAATGAGTACCTCCTGAATTTAACGGATGTCACTGGCAGGTCTTTGTGGTGCACGCCTCGAAAAACGTCAATTCTGGGCTTTGTTATTTCCGCTACTTTGTTCATGGAAATTTTTGATGAATTTGTTAGTAGTAAGAGGTTGAATTACTTACTATCTAGCAGGAGATAGGAACGAGATGAGATCTGGTGCACTAAGCGCTGAACAGATAATGCAACTATTTGTATGTTTTTTAAGTGGTCCACGTTTTCAACAGAGAAGTGGACATGCATCTAAAACAGTAATAGAGTTTTTACCAAAAATAATGCAAAAGACTAATACCCATCTGAACTACATTTCCTACAGCAAATAACATCGAAACTATCCGTTTTCCTAGTTTTCCTTTATTTAACAGAAGCGCTTTATATAGTTAAACCTTTAGTAACAAGAAAATAATTGTACAGTCTTTATTGCTTGTAGCATGAACTATTTAAGATTTCTACTTATGCGGCGTATTTTGTCTGTAAAATCAAACTCCCATAAGAAACCCATAGTAAAATTTTTGAATTATGAACTGCCGCGCATTCTAAATTCTAACCTTATTTGAGTGGTCAATTGGAGCTTGAAACACCCGATGATACCATGTCAGATTGCATATAACAAGGTTCATAAAAAAACGGATAATCATTAAAACGTGTTTTAGAGACAAATGTGCGTCGGTGATAATTAGTTGCGCTGTTTTAAATGATAAGTTTCCGTTGATCTGAGTACTTTAAAATATTTTTTATTGGGGATTTTAAAATTTAAATCGTTTTTTCGATTGCGCTTGCGTCGGTGTAAATAAAAGTGGAAATTTTACATAATTATGTTTTGCTAAAAAATGATAGTTATCAGTTCTATCATATGTCTCATACCATGGCCAACTCTATTAATAAATATGGCCATCCCAATTCATATTTTTTTGGGCAATGTTCTAGCTTGCCTTGACCGTTCGTCAGGTGCCGACATCTATGTACCATAAATGTTCAAAATTTTAAATTGACGCAGTCATTATACATAATATATGTTTTTGGACTTTGAATCTGCTTGTTCTTTTAATAATAGTGGGCAGAAAATGTGCAATTTGTGGAAATTCCGCTAAACCGTTATTTCAGTTTCCCAAGATGCCGCAAGCCGAACAAAATGATTTGAAGTTGTTGATAAATTCATTGGTAATTACTTAATATTAAAAAAAAATGTTCCGGCATCATAAAACATTTACTGATGTTTCTAAAATTAAAGATCACTGGTCTATCTGCGAACGCCATTTCAAGAAAGGCATTAAATCTTTAGATAGCAGTTATCGCTCCATATGTTCACGTTCCTGATGAAAGACTTAAGTGGCTAAACGAAATTTTTCCAAATTATATAGATGAAATTCAGACCATCAGTTCTGCTAGCGCCGGTTTTCGTGGTTTTACTCAAGAGACTGCACATGCTTTAAAATTTATTCCCAGAAGTACATATTTGTGTGTTAAGTTTCTGTTAAAACAGGTTTTTGCTATGTTCTTACGCGTTCCTTTAGCTCCGATGCGGTGAAGGCAACGTTCTCGCATGTGAGATTAAAAGGAGGCTCCAGCTGTAGAATATGCAATGCGTCAGATTCTCCGCTGCGGAATTGTTAAATGTGCCAAATCATCTAATGTTTCCAACATAGACTTTGTCAGTACAGCAAAATTCTCGGTTTTGGATCAAGACAAAGAAAATTTTGATATACATACCTATGGAATTAAGAACAAAGATTCAAAACCTAAGTAAAATTAATTGAATCCTGCAAACATTTCATCGGCATCTGTAGCTGTTTTAGCTGGCTACATTTTAAAGAAATTAGATGACAAATTTCATTGTGATAGCTGCCTTGCACCGCTGTTGTCCAAAGAGGTTCCTGGTCCGCTATTAAGACTCATCCTGTTACAGGATGGAGGTGGATTAACCTAATGCATATTTCTCAGGCATTGTGAAGGAAGTGGCTGACGTAACTCAAAAAATGTTGCCGTTTTTAAACTCTAAAAAGACATGTCAACATATATGTAATCTGCTGCATCCTTCTTTGGACCAAAATATATCTATCTTATTTCAAAACTAAATAGTAATATTAATAATGTTCTTGTGCCATTATCTACACTTTCAAAAAATATGTGATATTTTAAAACGTCATTTTGACAATTACTTGCCAAACAAGTTTATAACTATTACGGCATTATACTTGTCGTTGCCTCCTGATTAACGATTTTGGAAATGTCAAAGAATTAACTTTTTGTACGAATTGGGATGGCCATATTTATTAATGTAGTTGGCCGTGCTCATACAAAAGTTTCTATTTTAGAGAATTGCCGTGTTGCCGTTTGTATTTCTGAAAAATGTGCAAGGTTGCTGGTTCTTTAATAAAAAAATATAGAATATAAACTGGTTCTGTATGGACAAATATCTTTGTACCTTGAAAATGGCTTCTTATAAGTACTTACAGTGCAAAGTAATGTTAAGCACGAACTAATTCGGAATATTTTTCATACATTAATTCGCCGATAAATGGTTTTAAAAGTAGCCGTTTTAAAGTTTTATAACCTAGTTCTGAGCCACATCTGAATCAGTTTTTGGTTCTGTTTTTTAGTTTAATGATGCTCCAAGGAGTTTTAACTGTTCAAACAAAAATAGTTTCACTTTCTAGAAAGATACGTGTACAATATTGTATCGATCAAAAACTCAACACTAGATATGTAATTTTTAGGCTGTGGAATTATTTCCTTAGGATGTTAAAAGTATTAATTAACCAACGTTTGAAAAAATGCCCTCTGTACTGTGAAGTTGGTACGTTGGTAGATATTTGTTGTTGTTCTTTTTCTATGATAAGTTGACTGTTACTGAAGAATCCTTCAAATGTTATGTTTTTCAAGAAGATATTTATATTAAAGAAATTTTTGTAGATAATGTAATGATATTTTTTTTTCTACCGCCCACGTTTTTTGGTTTTCTAATAGAGCTATTAACACACGCAAATGACGTCACAGCAGTTCGTTAATAGCGGAAAGGCGTTCTTTAATAGATCTGGTGTAATTTAGATCGGTAAGATTGGTAGCAATGACGAGAAATGTCAGGTGAATGTCAGTGGCAAATCTAAACTTAAAATTTCCCACGTTTCCGGACGCGTAACTTCTTCGCAAGACATTTTAACCAATTTTAAATTAGAAAAACTCGAATTGATTCGAATTACAATTGTTGTTGTGAAAATTCGAACCTCAAATATTTCGTGGTTAGTGTCAGACCAACTCATCACCAACCACGACAAAAGTCCCCAGATTAAAAAAAATGCAAATTTCAATTAAATTTTGGGAAAAAACGTGTCCGGTAGAAAAAATAGTATAAATAACTCGTTCATAAGGCCATTGAGGCACTCATCCTTTATATAACTCGCGGCTTCGCCGCACGTTCTATAAACTTGGATTCGTGCCTCAATATTTGCATTATGAAACTCGTTCTTTAATATACTATTAAAGTACTGCAAAATAATTTCATAACTAATTATAACTAACATAACTTTTAGGAATGCAAGTCTCATATAAGGACAAAAATAGGCATCGATTTTTATATCAGTACTAGCTGACCCGGCCACGCGTTGCTGTGGCTAAAGTTTTTGTTATATTACATTATAGTAAACAATCTAAGAGGAACAATAAGAGAACATCAGTCACGGAGTCCACTATGCTTTTTCACACAGATGGTATTTGTAAAAAAATATGGTGATCTCCTTATTTGACTTTCTACTACTATAACCCTTTAGTACAATGAAATTATTTACGAACAAAGACGAAAATGTTGATGTTGGTATACAAATTCACTGGATTGAGATTTGAAGGGGAAGTACGTTGAACACAATATTTCGTTCACTACAAAATAAATTTAATTAATTTTATAGCGTCAACAACGCGTCGTAATTATGCTGTTAAAATGTAGCTTATATGACACGTTCGTAGATTTACCATAGCAGCGCCATCTATTGATTACTTACTCAACCCAGTCGAAAGGTATCGACATCTGTTAGAATCATTTGGAGTTAACAGATAATTGTGACTGTCAAATAATAACAGACAAATAATTAGCAATAAATTAAAATTGCGACTATAATTTGAGATTTAAACTATCCTATCTCTCAAGTTGGATTGAACTGCACATGGTGTGCGAATTTTATTATAATCGGTTAAGTGGTTTAGGAGTCCATTGAGGACAAACATTGTGACACGAGATTTATATATATTAAGATATGTAGTTGTTTCTGCATGTAATCAAATACTAAATATATGTATATTTACTCAGTACGACATCATCCAACTTTTGACAAAAACATAAGTAATACACAATTTTACTTAAGAAAATTTAAATTACCAAAACCTGAAATACATAGTAACAATGAATGTATTCCTGATATGAGTGGTTTGTTGCTGCCAAGCATCTTATCACTTTTTTGTAAACAACTAATTTCATCGATAATAAATATATGCAAAATTGGAACCAACCTATTTACTGGTTCTTATCAGCAGTACTCGTTTGTACAATTTTAAAGCTGTTGCAAGATAAAAATTTTAAAACGTCTTTCTCAAGTTGAAAACAAATTACACTTTAGTAATGGCGACACATTTTCGATAGGTATATTGTTACAAAATGCAAACAAACAATATTTATTGATTTGATTTTAACTTCTAGTTTCACAATTCTTTGATAACACTAATGACCCTCCTTTATTTACTTGGTTGCGCTAGGTGCGTTCTTTATATCATCGGTAAATATAAATAAAGACACCAAATCATTAAATATTTTAATTTATTATTTTAGAAATAGCAACAAATGGAGGGGATATACTTACTTCTATTATGATAAACATGACAAAATTAGTAGTGGCGCCGGCAACGTCGAGACGAGTAGGAGAATCTCACACGCGAGACGTGCGCCTAAATCCACGTGGTGAAGTAGTGTTTTTATTTTAGTTCTGGTTATAGAATGTCACTAGGTCATCAAACGAAAAGACAAGAGGATGAAGAAGACAGTGACGTACCACCACCACCAGATGGTGGATGGGGATGGATGGTAGTATTTGGCTCATTTATGATTCACATTATCAGTAAGTTGTTTATTGCATTTTGACACATTGACGTTTGTACATTATCGCCTCTCTTGATACTGGTGTCAAATAACCGGTCATCCCTGTTTTAAATACTGAACTAAATTCCAGTCCAAAAGAACGACACATTAAGTAAATATCTTTACTGACAGTCTTAAAAATTAAAGAAAATGAATCTAGTAATAGAGGTACGTATCTTCAATAAGCTTATAAAAATAAAATAACACCTTTATATTAGGTACATTAGACAATGAAACTCAACGATTATACCTGAAAAACTAAACGATTTCTCTGACGCATGTTTCTGTTCTTCTTCCAACAACTACTTAAAAAAAAAAAACGGTTTTATCAGATGTACAAATAAAAAATATCTAAAATATTTATCATCACCATATCTCTGATCATTATTGTTACTTCCCATTCCCACTACTTATCGTGAAACTATTTCGAGTCTTTCAGGCACCGTTCCAAAAGTAACAGTAGTAGAATTATACTGATTTCGAGATTTGCAGTAATTTTAAATGAAGAGTAACGATACTCACAATAATTATTAGATATTACTTATTCACCAACTTAGGTTTAATAAAATAAAAACGCAAAAACTACTGGCGGATATTAAAATATTGTAAGTAAATAAAACATCAAATGCACTGCAGATCGTTTTTTGCTCTATATTGACATGGTATTGGTCGGCATATACATCATTCGTTTTCATTGCAACAAAGATGTAAAATAATTTCTTATTATAACACCGAAACAGAACTTAATAAACAAGACGTGTGAAAGAAAGTGCATGTGCAACCAATTAATAAACAACAACCACGTGTCGCGTCAACGCTTGGAGGCTCGTGTTCAAAAAATTTTGACGCACAAACAAATATTAGTAATCTTATTCATATTTTCAAAATAAAATTTTAATTTAATGAACAATTTTTGGGAACAACAATATGATTTTCTTAATTAAAAAAGTAATTAACTTCAAAAAACTGTTTTGTTTCGATGCCGGAATGGAGATTGTGGAATACTCCTAGTGCCCATTTTTCATGACAATGTACGATTGAGATGACAGTCGAAAGCGAGTACCACCGGTCATACAAGTGAGAAATCAGTATTCTGTGCGCTTAAAGGGTATATTTTCATTCATACATTCTGTCAGTTGAAAATAAATCTGTCTCACAAAGCAGTGTTTTAAGAATTCAGAATTATTTGGAGTAGATGAAATTTATTTATTCCGAACTTTTATGGAACTAAATTCGATAATTAGAAACCGATAAAAGGTGGTTCACGATGAACACATGCTGCTGTAAACTAAAAAATTGTCGTTCTAGAGCCGTAAAAACAGCGTGAAACAAACAGTGCGGTTTGCACGTGTGCGCAACACCACGGGATGGTAATTTTTTATCGAGTGACTACTGTGATCTCGGAAACCTTGACAGATACGACTGATACGAGATCGGTTAAATTTCAAAAGTGGCATTGGTGAGTGTTAATTAATAATCTTCTATGAAACAAATTCTCAGCTTATTAGATTTATGATTATAAATGTCAATTTTCTTTTTTCTAATCGACATTTTTACATACTTATACAGAAAAAAAATCTTTTTTTTTTGCAGATAATTATTAATTCATTAATTATGTACTTGTTTAGAACCATTTCATATGTTGTTAGATTCACTATTTAAAAATTATTCATTGATCGCTGTTATTTGCCGAACCTCCATCCGACGAAAGGCTAAGCCTATCTTTTCTCGACCATTAGCATTAGAATATGAAAAAATAGGCTTCACGTTTCTAGATGTCTGTCGTTTGGTGGTGCTTTTATTACATAGATAATTTCTAGACTGATTGCCGTAAAATTTTATAAGTAAGTATGTAGATATTTTAGAAATATCTTTTAGATGGTAAAAATCTAACCAAATTTTACATGTTATTTAAATTCTACAACATAACATACTTCTACAACTATAGTTTTGGAATCCAGAATTGATCATTTTAGAATTTACCTTGTAAATTGCAGAACCGCATGCGCTGAAATCTTGCAAACATTTTAAGGTTATCGTTAATCAAAATTTGTATTGCATATATTTTTATTTTAAATATAGGTTAAACATTTGATAAGACAATACTGCATTTAAACAACATCGTAAGTTACTTCTTTCACCGTTACAGGCGTTAAGAATGTCAGCATTATCATCTTTGATAATAATAATTTCAGAAGTGTAAAAAAAAATATTGTAACGCAAACACACATCAAAAATTTAAAACTTTTTCTTCCAAATAGTAAAATCGCAATACAAAATTGAAACCGTAAATTAGTAGTCATTATTCTAAATCTACTTGCACTACGATTTCCTAAATGAAAAATAGTAACTGGTAATAAAGACAAATTTCATGATTAATTTTTAACACACAATGTGTTTCGTCATTAACAAGGAAATAAATCTTAATAGTCTGGAGAATGAAGTATTTAAATGACCTACTACTAAGTAATAGACTAGTAAAAGTATTCCAATTTATAATATGGCTTTCAACTGACAGCTTTTTGATTTTTTTATTTATTAAGAAATTGTGAAATTTTTAATTTTCGTTTCCTTATAATTTTTACTGTATTTCCTACCAAAGTTTCCATATAGTCTTCCAACGTTATCCACTTCTAACTCCCTAACTTTCGACAAGTATTGCTTTTGCCTCAGAATCAGTAAAAATAAACATGTTGATAATTTCTGAAAGTAGTTTTTTATTCTGGTTCAGAAAGTATCAAAAAAATCTGGGTGTTCAATTAAAAAAAAGGAAAAATGTTGTAATCAAGTCACCATGTTTAACTATACCGGGTGTCTGGAAAATGGCGGATTAACTCTCCGCTACGCTCTTAACAATCAACTGGTGAGTCTGGGAAAAATAGTAAAAAAAATCCTTCGCATTTTTTGGTGAAGTTATAATGATTTTAAAATTGGTTCTTTTGCTACGTTTAACAACTAAACAACTCATTCATTATCAGAATATCTAGTAGTAAAACTTTTAGTTAATATTTTTCTCCCCCATGACCATGTTTAATTACCATTTCAGTTAGAATGCACAAAGATATGGATGTGTTGATTTTGTAATAATTTGATAAAATTCCATTTGACAACAATATTTGCCTGATATAAAGCGAAGGTGTACTTCAGTCACCATCGTTACTAAGAAACCAGAAAGTAAGCCGGAGGTATTCACGCATTAGGTGTGTACAGTGTTGCCAATTTTACTTTTATAAAATCACGTTTTTTTCGTAATCTACGTTATAAAGAATTTTTTTATTATTTTTTTGGGACTCCCGAAACCCCCGTATATAACGTACTGTTAATCCGCCATTTTCCAGACACCCGGTATTTATATCCAGAGCAAATTTCAGAAAAAAAACTTTTCAAATTACAAAGTTATTCCACCGTTCCGGGACTTTATACTAACCTGGTCTGGTCTGTTAGTGAAATGTAACACAATGAATGATAGATAACTCGATGGAATGTCCTGTACTGATGAGATCCAACAAGATCGAAACTACAGTCTACAGCTTTCCAGCGGGTTGTCTAGCCTTCGGTGTAATTAAACACTTTGCGATGTCTGATCTGTTGGCTGTAATACTTAATAAGGCTCCAAATATTATGCAAACACAATATCAGTTGCAATGTTTTGAATCGCTTCCAGTTTTCCCTTACTTTGTTCCTGAATCGCAGAAAAAGCTTTTATTTCTGCCTATAAAGTGAACAGTTTCAGCCAAATTAATGACATTTTCTTGTTAACATGATCTTTTTTTTAAGTCTTTGAAGAATTTTCCGTGTAGTTGCTTTTATTTTAGTCCATTAATTATGTTTTCTGAGATATGTAAAATGTGCATTTCTTTGGGAATAGATAGATTTAAAAAAAAAGAAAGAAAACACTCAAGAATCTTCAAGAATGGCGGATCTTAAACCTGCATCACTCAATGCTGTTCATAGAAAGGCCTAATGAGAAACGCAGTGAAGAAATACTGACACTGTGTAGAAAAGATCTCAGATTTAAGATCCACTACTGACCCGAAAATGACCGACATTCAGGCAAAACTTTTATCATTACGGGTAATAAAACCAGTAATATGCATTGATTAGATTAATAATAACTTTGAGATCCTAGAACTACAGCATACAATTTCGTCTAATTTTTCGTGTTGTATGTTTGTATTATGTTGTGCGTGTTAGGAACAACAATGTCAATGAGAATGGCTTCATGAAAGTGTTTCGTTATACAGTGCGCGGAAATTTATATTGCGGCTGCAATTCCCCAGTTGAAGTAAGGTGTCTTTTACGGCGAATAGCGGGGACTCTTTGATCTGGGCCACAAGGTCGTAGCCAGTGCGTCTCTAGGAGTGTTTACAGCTAGTAAAAAAACTACTTCTGTATTACTATATTACTTCAAATAATAATACTCGGTGCCCTTATTAATTTTTCAACCACAGGACTACAGATTTGTGATCTTGAAATGTTATATTATGTTGATATAGTCCAAAAGAAAAATATATTTGTAATCAAAGTATCGACGCGGCAGCACTGGTACGAGCGTCTGAGGTATTATTCCGCCCGTTGGTTATAAGTATGATATCTAGTATGTTGGTTGTAATGTTACTGTCTGTAAGTGTTGTGCGATCCCTATATAGTTTGTATTCGGTGTTTTCAAGGAACGAAGATGGAATATAAGTTAGTGTATCTTGGATCAAATTCAAATCTCCTTGCTAAGTCTTTGTGAATGATTCTGGCTGCGATGTCGTGTCTAGCTTTATAGTAAGTTTATGCTAGGATGCTAGAACATGAAGTTATGTGCTGATTGATTTCGGGTTTTTCTTTACAAAATCAACAAGAATGGTTTCTTATATTTGGATCTTTAATTATATATTTTCTGTAATTCTTAGTATTAATTACTTGTTCTTCAATAGCAAACAAAAACCTATCTCTTTAGGCATAGAAATTTAATTTTTTCAGCAAAATTAA